GACGGAGGCGGGTGAGGAGGAGCTTTGGTGGCGAGTCTGAAGGAGTTCATGGAGGGGCATCTGGATACGCCAGGCGGTCTCGTTCCTTCCCCACGTAGGGCCCCAACGTGATGTTGCGTCACACGTCGTGTGCCCATTGGATACCAGCCAATGTGTTAGCATGCTTGTTGGCTGTCCCTTAGCGCGGCTTGAACTTGATACCTCCGCGGGGGGGAGGAGTAAGATAGCCCAGGAGTGGCATCGAGACGACCTATTCGGAGGCAGGGGCCCCCGCCGACAGCCCAAGTCCTTGAGACAGCCCTGAGATCTTGTAAACCTCTTGGGCTCTCATTGGAATCCGACTGGGGTCTCGATGGCATCTGATTCGGATCTTGGTGGGATCCCGACCTGAGGCGTCCAGGGCGGGATAGATAGCATTTCCAGGGGCCACGCGAAATCAGGCGGCGTTGTCCTCGCTTTTCGGAGAGTATCTTCCCTTGGCATCGCTCGGACGTGTGCATTTTTCTTTCGGCGAGGGCCATCGAGAAGCAACCTTGATGATTTGGCGAAAAAAACGCGCGCGAAACCTAACAAAACACAGGAAATTGACGTCCGAGCGATGGCCAGTTCCCGATCAATGGGTTTGGCGCCCACGCGCCAGATCCACGGATCCCTACTCCATGTTAGCATCGGCCTATCCATACACCCCTTTTTACGGGGGACGCGCCTGGACAGGCGTCCCGTGCGCTCCTCCCATCTATCTCCTCCTATTCCGTCGCCCATTCTCCGTCCCTCTTCGTTACTCTACAGATTCCTCTGTAGCCTTTTCTGCCTCGTCAGCATCCTCTCTCTTTACCCCTCTACCTTGACGTCACTCGTCGCCTCCGCATACCTGTTATAAGAATTCCCCTTATCCTCTGCGTAGTATCCCCCACACCCCCGCCTCTTCATCGTCCTGAGTCACCTCCACCTCGACCTGTTCCTTCCCCTCCCCCCTCCCTCGCATTCCCGCTCCACTCCTATATTTGTTTGTTTCGTGTCTGTTTCGTGTACCTTCTCCTTTCTATCTCTACCGAGTCCTTTTTTTTCTCCGCCTCTGCCACTCTCCGTTCCATGTGGGGCATGCACATAGCAAGCAGAAGCAAGCGAAGCATGGACCGGGACGTGCCGAACGAGCGAGCTTGACCTAGGCCAGAGTTGAGTTTGGCCAACGTTTCCACGTCTGGGCCCCTGGCCCTTGAACCCCCTCCAAACCACCTGCCTACCCAGCCACACCCACCCACCCACACACACACACGCACACACACACACACACTTACCCACCCACCCGCCCGCCACCCACACACCTACCCACCCTCCACCCACCCACCAACCCACCCAGTCACGACCACTTCACCCCAGGTGGGTTGGTGTTGGGTGGGGGGGGAGCGTCATATATTTGTCATATGCGTATATGCCGATTGCGCTACCCGCCTCCCCCTATGGCCACCGCTCACCCCCTGCCTGCCCGCCCCTCGCTTCCGGAGGAGTTAGAGCCAGAGTCCAGGATCCCTTGACAGCGTTTTGCTGAGCCAAGGTGGCTCCTAAGAGTGTTCGCGCTTGTCTCCTGCTTCTGATCCGCCTGCGCCTTCGGCGTCGTCGTCCAGCGGTTCGTCATCGTCGTCCTGCTTCTCCTCCTCCCCCGCATCCAGGTAATCCTCCTTCTCGCCCTCGCCCCCCACTTCCACTACGCCTCCTTCTCCTCCTCCTCATCATCATCAACATCATCAGCAACAGCACAATCATCATCATCATCATCATCATCATCATCATCATCATCATCATCATCATCAGCAGCAGCAGCATCATCATCATCATCAGCATCATCATCAGCATCAGCATCAGCATCATCATCAGCATCATCATCATAATCATCATAATCAGAATCAACGTCATCATCACCATCATCATCATCATCATCAGCATCATCATATCAGCAGCAGCATCATCATCCACATGTTCTCTTCCTTCCGCTTCTCATCCTTCGCCCCCCTCTCCTCCTCCTCCTCCTCCTCCTCCTCCTCCTCCTCCTCATCATCACCACCATCATCATCATACTCATCATCAGCATCATCATCGTCATCATCATTATCATCAGCATCATCCTGATCCTCCTGGCCCTCCTCCCTCCCCTCCTCTTCCTTCTCCTCCTCCTCCTCCGCCTCCTCCTCCTCTTCCTCATCATCCTGTGTCTCATCATCTCACTCCTTCTCGCCCCCCTCCTCACACGAAATCCTCCTCATGCTCCTGGTGTGATTCCTCCTCGTCGTGTTCGTCCTCCTTCGCTTTATCCTTTACCTCATCGGCGACCTCCTCATTGTAGTTATCTTCCTCCCCCATCCTCCTCCTCCTCCTCCTCCTGCTCGCCCTGCTACTCCTTGTATTGCTCGTACTCCTCCTCGTTATCCTCGTCCTCCTCCGCTTCGCAGTGCTCCTCCTTCTCCTCCTCATCCTCCTCCTCATCTCCTCCTTCATCCTCCTCCTCATCCTCCTCCTCGTCCTCGTCATCCTCCTCCTCCACCTCCTACTCCTCCTCCTCCTACGCCTCCTCCTTCTACTCCTCATCCTTCTCCTCCTCCTCATCCTCCTCTTCCTCCTCCTCATTCCCCCTCTCCTCCCCCTCATCGTCCGCCTGGTCATTTTCCTCATTAGTCTCCTCCTCCTCCTCCTCCTCATCCTCCTCCTCCTCCTCCTCCTCCTGCTCCTCTTGCTCCTCCTTGTTTGACGTTGCGCCGACTTGAGGCGAGCGCCTGGAGCGTGCTCCCGCTCGTCCTGCTCCTCCTCCTCCTCCTCGGCCTCCTCCTTCTCCTCCGCCTCCTCCTCTCCCTCCTCCTCCTCCTCCTCTTCTCCTCCTCCTCCTCCTCCCTCCTCTTCCTCTTCCTCCTCATCCGCCTGGTCATGTTCCTCCTCATCCTCCCTCTTCTCCTCCTGCTCCTCCTTGGTTGACGTTTTGCAGACTTTGAGGCGATCGGTTGGAGCGGCTCCTCCTCCTCCTCCTCCCCCTCCTCCTCCTCCTCCTCCACCTTCTCCTCCTCCTCGTCCTCCTCCTCCTGATCTTCCTCCTTATCCTCCTCCTCCTCCTCCTCCTTCTCCTCATCATCATCCTCATCAGCATCAGCAGCATCATCAGCAGCATCAGCATCATCATCAGCAGCAGCATCAGCACCACCATCATCATCAGCAGCAGCAGGAGCATCATCATCATCATCATCATCATCATCATCATCAGCAGCAGCAGCAGCAGCAGCAGCAACAGCAACAGCAACAGCAGCATCTTCAGCATCCTTATCCTAATTAGCATCAGCAGCAACATCATCTTCAGCAGCAGTTGCGCTTGATTGAATCCATTCGCTCATTCCGCCGGCCCATTTCGTATCTCGGTGGTTGCATGGTGGTGTACTCGCACCCATGGGGAACGATAGGGCAGGCAGGACTGTCCTCGAGGAGATTTTCGGAGATGTGGCTCGCTCCCTCGCTCCCTGTCGAAGAGAGTCGGTAGACTGCCCCAGAGGGCGCCAAGATGGCTCAAGAGAGCTCCAGCAGTGTTTCGAGACGTACCTGGGTTGTGGGTCAGAGTCCTCGTGGATGCTTCTTGGGGTCTCTTTGGCGGGCCCTCGGGAGCCTCTAGGGAGAAGTTTCGAAGCATCTGACAGTCCTCTTGGGGGCTTCTTAGGGGCCGCTTGGGGCTTCCTGGAGGCCTGTTGGGGGTATTGGGAGCATCTTTGGGGACCTCTTGGTGGCCTGTTGGGGCCTCTTGGGGGCACTTGGGGAGCTCTGGGGGCTTCCTGGGCGCATCTTGGGGCCGAGACCTCAAAATGTCTGTTCGGGTTCCCCCTCTGGGCCTCCTGTCGGGGCCATCCTGGGGCCATCTTGGAGGCCTCTTGAGCCGTCTTAGGGCCACCTTGGGCCATTTGGGGACCCTCTTGAGGGGCTTTTTGGGCCGTCGTGGGGCTTTTTGGGCCGTCCAGGGCGGCCTGCAGCTCGAAAAGGCGGTACCGCTAAAATCGCCCGAACACCAAAGCGAAATGCATGATTTTGAAATATTCGGGCCTCTCGACGTCTTCCTGGAACCCTCCTGGAGCTTCTTGGGCGCTTCGTGGGCCGTCTTGGGACCAGCGTGGGCCATCTCGGAACGCTCTTGGCCTGAGGCAGTGGAGGAGCCGCCGAGGAGCCGACGCGCGGGGCAAGCTCGCGGATGGGCCTGTTTTTCACTACCACCACCACCATACGTTGGAGGAGGAGGAGGAGGAGGAGGAGGAGGAGGAGGAGGAGGAGGACCCCCTCCCCCTCAAACTTCTGGTGGTCAATCCTTTTGGCGCCTCCTTGGGGGCGCTCGGGGGGCCCCCGAGGCCGCGCACAGGAGTTCCGGCCTCTCTGGCCCGACCTGGCTGGGACCCTGCCGGGGCACCCTCTCCTCCAGGGAGCCCTCAGTCAAGCAGTGGCGAAGCGTCCTGGCTCGCCCATAGCCCTACCAAACAATTTTCTGAGAACCTTTTGTGGTCTCCATGAAATGTTCTTAGAACATGTCTGGCGGAGTCTGTCTTGTTTGAGCACATCGGGTTTATGTTATTAGAACATTGTTTCTGTTCTTAGAACATGTTTGGGTTCTAAGAACAGTTCGTGGTAGGACTAAAGGAATGCCGGGACGGTCGGTCCCTGCTCAACCCGGGGGGCCGCCACGCGCGCGCGTAGCAGCAACCTTCTTGAGTTATTGCCTGAGATTTTAGCACGCCTCTGGCCCGTTGGTCTGGCGAATCTGACACGAAGGCCCGACAAGTGAGGGTTTTTGGGCGGCGTGCACAAGATCTAGAGGAAGCTGGTTGATCCGAGGCATGTCAGCGGCCGCCGCCACCTCTGGCATCAGCAGCGACAGCAGCACTATCGGCCCCACCCCGCCGCCACCAACACCAACACCCGCACCAGCAACACCACCCCCTGCCCCCCACAGCCCATAATCCACATCCATCCTCCCACTACCCCGTAGCTATGTTGGCTCAAGTCTCAAGCTTCAAAATGCGTCAAGCCGCTGCTGCCAGCCACAGTTTAGTGCTTAGTCCTTAGAGCGAGATGCACCATGCATCCATCGGATAAACGCCTACTCCGGAAGCAGACCAGCTTTGGCAGCACAATCACGCGTTTCCAGGGCGACTGGCTAAGAAAGATCATCTCACCAGGAGGGTCGAGCGGTGCCAAGTTGCTCAATAAGCCCCACCGGGCGACTGCAGAGCAGCTGCTGCGGTGGCTTTATCAGGCGTCCTGGCCCGCATTGATACTTGCTACGTTGCTTGTGTTCATTGCGACTGCCGTGCTGTTGGCAGTCACATTGTACCCATCATGCCGCGCCTCGCCAAGCGATGGTTTCGTGCGTGTGTTGTCGATCGTCTTCTCGGCGCTCGGTGGCGGCGGCCATGGCACCCTGGATGAGGCGACACATTGCATCATGATTGTCGGGCTGCTCAACTTTGTGGCCCTCCTTCTGCAGGGCACGCTGTTCTCTGTGATTGTGACCAAAGTCATGAATCCGAGCGTGAAGTTGCGATTCTCATCAAGGCTCGTGGTTATCACACGTGGTGGCGAGCAGTACCTCTCCTTCCGACTGGTCCACCCGAACGGCGACTGCATCACCAACCTCGAAGTGGAGACGTGGTGGGCCCACAGGGAAAAGACGCCTGAGGGCGAGAGCTTCGTCCAGCTGGACGAGGTGGTGTTTCCAGTGAACGGGTCGATGTTGTTTTTGCCTCGCACGTTCACACACAAGATTGACAAGGCTTCGCCATTCTGGCCTTACCGAGAGGCGCTCTGCGAAGCGCACGGCCAGCTGAACGTGCACGTGAAAGGCACTGACCAGTATCTGAACACCGACTTTTGTGACGCGTGGGTGTACAACGTGCCCGATGTGGACCATGTGGAGGGCACGCAATACCACTGGGCCGACATGTTCATCGCTCTCCCCGACGGCACCACTGGTGCAGACCTCGCAAAGATCGACGAGGTGGCGATGGGGCCCGACCATGAGGTTCAAGCGTCGGCCGCGGAGCGGTCCATCGAGGTGCCACGTCTCCGGCAGCGTACTCCTGCGTAGTGGGTAGCAGCATGGCCGCATTTACGATGGGGTGTGGCAACTACAGTCGGGGCCCTGAGGAAGGAACCCTTTCCGTTGGGGAGAGGCTCCGCGTTCCTTAAGTGTTTCGCAGCTTGCCTCAGGCTTCCCTTAGGTTTCCGACAGGAAATCGAAGTTCAATTTCTGGAGAAAAGGGGCCTCGTTCCTTATTTAGGGTTCCTTAGGTCAACGCCCCGACTGTAGTTGAGTTTGTTGATGGCGGCCCATGTCGAGGAGATGGCTGACATGGAACAAGTCGCCACTATCCAAGCCCGCTTGCTTCATCTGCAATCTTGCAGCAACCCCAAAAGACACCAACCACCACCCACCGCCCACCAACCACCACCGACTGCCCACAGTATATAGCGACAATTATTACCACCCCTGCCCCCGCCATTACAGTGGAAACCCATGCCAAAAAAACACCCTGCTTGCCTCCAGGGTGCCCTGGGTTTCTAGGGTTTCGATGGTGTTGCTATGTATGGACAGCGTGACGCTACCACAGCAAAAATCAATGGACGTCCTGGTGTATCAGGGTGTTGTTTCTTGTGGAATGTTTCTTGTGGTCGAGCTCCTACTGTGCTTACCACGGCCGCCGCCGTCAGCAGCAGCAGCAGCTGCAGCAGCAGCAAGAGCAGCAGCAGCAACACACCCACCCCACCCCACCCATCGCCGCCACCACCACCACCAGCATCTGCAGCGGCAGCAGCAGAAGCAGCGGGAGCACCCGGTTTTGGCAGGAGCCTCGGCGTCTTTCTTTATTTCGTCGAGATCCAAAGCCTTCGGGGTTGCAGCGCCGGCGTTTGGGGCACGAGACCCCCACGTTCCCCGCGATCGCCCCTCTGAGCGCCGCCAGCGTCGAGGTCTTGCTCCCACGCGCATGTACGTTCCGCGGGGTGGTGATGGGGCGAGCCGACCACTGCGGATTCAAACGCGGAGCTTCGAAAAGGAATCGTTATCATTATTGAGTTGCCAGGGGAAATTAAGGCGTTGCATCAACGCGCACGCACTTATCTCGCCGAGGCTACCACGGGCAGACGGACAGCATGCACACGCGCAGCACCTCCATTGCGTACAGCGCTGTAGGACACAACCCCGGACGACCCCCAGGGCTCCTCACGGCATTACGCCTCGCTCGAGCACATCGTGGAGCCATCGAGAGCTGTGCTCTGGTCGCTCAACGAGCAGATCCGCTCGGGCCATGTGTGCAGGAGGGGGAGAGGATGGAGGAGGCAAAACGGAATTCGCCGGTATCCACGTAGCGGTTGCGAGTTAGCCAACGAGGAAGAGGCAGCACGGAGAAGGGGGGCAGGAGGAGAGGGGGGGGGGGGAGCCGAGACCGAGGAGAGGTGGCCGGCAGCGGGCACGGCGAGAGCGCGGGCGCAAGCAGTGCCCCGCATCGTTGTGAGCAGTCTGGCCCCCTTTCTCCTCGTCGTGGCCGCAGCCATCGTGGCTCGACCGTCATTCTTGCGCGAACATCTTCGGACACTGGAGCATATACATTACCAGTGGCGGGCGGTTGCTGAATCCCAGGAAGTGTTGAGGGTCGTGGGCGACGTCGGGGTGGTGTGGTGCATACTTGTTTCCCCGCTTTCCCGTGGAAACAAGAAAACATGTATACACCAGGATGCTGTACACACCACAATCCGTTTTCGTATGCGAAACTCAGTGCGGGACCGGAAAAAAAGCATCGGTGTATAAAGTTCGGTTCCTTACATCTCCTTTCGATGATCTGGTACGGTAGGTTCGCCTCGTGTCGACCAGCGGCGGCCTTGCCGCGGGCGTTCAAGGCTGAACGCCGCCAGTGGCCCAGACTCGGCCTACATGGAACGATCGGGCGAACGCAGAGCCGCCGATCGTTCAAGGTAAAACGATCCGCGCGGTGTCGGAAACCAACGCCGAAGTCGACACGATATGAACCTGCCGTATCGTGCTTCAGAGGGGGTTCCGCGTACTCTTCTCTGTGCGGGACTACCGTGGCGTGGTGGCTCGGTGTCTCTCGCGCTCCGTCCCTCGGAGTCGCCGGTTCCTTGGGCCGTTGCGAACAAATCGACAGCATCGGCAAGGGAAACGGGAGCGCACGGCCGATCATCGCAGGCACGGTGCGGGGTGTGGCCGAGAAGAACGGCCACCACTGCGACCATAGCCGAGACGATGTGAGCACGCGGATGTTCCTCACCAGTGCGGCCTGGTTCGCCATGCTCGTGGCTATCCTTTGCTTCTGCCCCACGTCGTGCTACCTCGCGGAGCAGGTGCAATCCAGCGCCTGGCCGAGAGCGAGGGAGGCGGGGCTGAAAGAGAGCCTAGGCCGCCAGGACTCGCTGCCAGTGTCACCGCGGACGTTACCCAGTTGAGGCAGAAAGTCGCTTGCCGAACAGCGGCCGCCGCCGCTTTTGAACAACACTTGCTGTTGGACATCTCACCCTTTCTTTCCGTACCCATGTCTTCGGGCGTCCAAATTCCCGTCGTCTTGGTCGTTGCCTTCTTGCGTCCCTTGCAGCACAGTCCGATCTCGGCTCAGCCTCAGCAGACAGCTTGGCCTTGCGCCGCATGGTTCGCGGAAATCGGGGGAGCAAGGCGGGACTGCCATCGTGGCCACGCGGACTGGCACAGACGTGCCAAGAGCTCGTTGTCGGGGACTGCGCAGTCCTGCCTCCGCAGACTGCGCGGTCGTGGAGTTCTCGGAGGCGGGCGCGAGAGAGGTACAGTCGGGGCGCTGAAGAAGGAACCCCTCTCGCTGGGGAGGGGCTCGGTGTTCCTTGACTGTTTCAAAGTTTGCCTCGGGTGTTCCTGAGGTTTTGCATCGGAAATCGAGGTTGAACTTATGGGAGAAAGGGGCCTCGTTCCTTCTTTAGGGTTCCTTAGGTCAACGCCTCGACTGTACGCATATGGAGGCGAGAAGGTGAAGAGGGGAGGGGAGGGAGGGGAGGGGAGGGCAGAGGCAGGGCAGGGCAGGCAGGTTGAGGAGAGGGGAGGAGACGGGCGGGAGGGGGAAGGGAGGGAGGCAAGGGCGGCGGAAGGAAGGGGGGAAGGAAGGGAGGGGGAGGGAAGCGAGGGAAGGGAAGGGAAGGAAGGGAGGGGGACGGGGGAAGGAAGGGAGAGAGGGATGGAGGGGAAGGGAGGGAGACGGCAGGGGGAGGCGGAGGCGTGCGCCCCGGGGCTGCGGAGGCGCTGAAGATCGAGATGGCCAGGAAGGCCGAGTCTGAAGAGCAGCTCGTCAGGGCCCCGCCCCCGTCGCGCGCCCCCTCGCGTCACCCGCGCATCGGGGGCGCAGCACGGGCTGTGCGCGAGCTGCCGAAGTCGGGGCGAGCGCATTCGCGGATCCCCGTGCGGCGCCCCGGGAAGCAGGATCTGTTCTGCCGTCGGGTATCAGCCAGGGCGGGGCGGGTGCTGTCCTCGAGTCCCTGTTCACCACGGGGCTCCCTTGCCTCAGCAGCCCCTGCGAGTCCGAGACGCTCTCTGAGGGCCTCCTCCGTGGCCTTTTCTTTAGGTGGCGGATCTCCGCTGGCGTGTCCGTCATCGCAGATGCCTCTTGGAGGTCGAAATGGTGGTTCCAAACCTAGGGCCTACGGCGCAATACGCATTGAATATCTGTGCTGGTGTGATAACGCGCTGTATTCCAAGCTCTCCAGTGCAATGCTGCCGCACGTGGCAACATGCTCGAGCAGTTTGTTTGGCCAGCAAAAGGTTAGAGTAGATGCTCATCTCCCCTCTAGGCGCAGGATGAGGCACTGTCAGGCCTAGTTTAGCAGACATGCTAAAAATCCTCAACCCACTGCAACACACGGATTCCACAGGCACTGCTTGAACTTGCGGTCTCTTGCTCGTCTTCAAAGTAATTGGCTTGGGGTTGCAGGCTTTCGCGTGGTGGCCGCCGATGGTCGCCTCGTGGCCGCCCTGTGCGCTGGCATGGACTTCTTTTTCCAGGTGTTCGACCGGTGGCTGCCCTGGCCGCCTCGTGGCCGTCTTTGCACGCAGGCATCGGCTTCCGCGTGGTCGCCCCGTGGCCGCCCCATGACCATCTTCTGCGCTACTGCCCCCGACCAAATTCAGGGGCAGTGTCGTCTCGGAACGCTGGCCTTCGGCTTTGGCCGCTGTGCCACTGGGGAGGTGGCACGGCATTCATCATCAGATCGTGGCCCATGGTCTCCGAAGCCTCTTGAGACCCCTACGCCCCCCCCCCAAAAAAAACACACACAACAAAATATCAATTTTCTGCGCTGGCCGGGTTTTCTGGGTTTCGCTTTCTTACAGCCTTCACCACGTGACCTGCTCAACACAGCTAGCACCGCATAGCCTGCACCACTCGAGGCGTTCCACACACGGCCTGCCTTCGCGGATCGAAGGAGTCGTCATCCCTTCCTCGGCGGAAGGCGGCGGAAGGTCGGCATGCAGCGGAAGTAAAAAGAGGCGACCTCCGCTGGCGGAAGCCCAAAACACGTCAGCACACTTTTGGGTACAAGGCTTCTGGAACTGCCACTTAGTTTGCACCACATAGCCTACGCTACATAGCTTGCGCACGATGGATTGCACCACAGTTTGCACCGCCCAGATGGCACCACGCAGATTGAACCGCAGTGGTTGCACCACACAGAACTCATGTGCAGAATGCACAAACTTACTGTTTGGCGCTCCTGTTGGCACAGATACCTGGATGCATGCGACTGCTAGCCTGCACAATAGATGGACCATGGCGCTGAAATTGAATTAACAGTGGTGGTACCACACCGTGTCCACGCCGATCTTCGTACAGTAGCACGGCGGGTATTGCTTCGCCGGAGCGGCCTCACAGTGCACGCGTTCTGCTGGCATCAGCTCGCAGGGACCACTTGTTTACTTACTATGCAAGGGGTGGAATAACCGACCCCAACCCTAGCAAAACATGTTCCTGGGAATCAGCATTTCTGCGTCATTGTGCATGGGCATGGCCGTCGCTGCCTGCACCGATGAACACCGCGCGGCGCCGCAGGCCGCGCACGCCTTCGGCGAACGACTTGCGGCGAGCCGACTCGCATGGCGGCAAGGGCGTCGATCGCACATGCCCGGCGGTGCTCTGGGGACAAGGGAGGGGCCCGAGATTTTCGCCCTCGCACATGGGCCACCCCCCGCGCAGCACTGACCTGTTTAGATCAGTGGCGTTCTCCCTGAGGCACTTGGTCTAATCCAATTTTTCAAAATGATTTTCTATATGTACAGATTCTACGTTTATCTGAACTTTCGGGGACGTTTCCGCTCGCGACTTCCTGCGGGGAAGTACATCAGATGAATGGTAGATGGCGCCACGCCGTTTGTTGCGTTGCGCGGCCTTACGTCTTGGGGAGGGCGCCTCGGCCATCAGGGCAAACGCCGCCTCGGGCGCAGGGCTTGCCGTGGGGTTTGCCACGGCGCCGGCTGCGTCTGGTTGAGACGCGGAGCGCAGGGCTTGCCGTGGGTTTGCCATGGTGTCGGCGTCTTGGGCGGGGTCGCGGCAGATCGAGTTTATACAAATTGTTTTTTTCTTTGGTGTCTAAATTTATTCCGGGGGGAATGTATCGACACCTTTTTCGCGCCCCACTCGGAAGGGGCCCCAGCGCTGGTCGGGGCAGGGCGCCGCGGTCCGTCAGCGGAGAGATTCTTCGGCGTGAGAGTGCGCGCCGCTTGAAGCGGAAGAACAATATGAAGTCGATCATGTTGGCAGTGTGTGTGTGTGTGTGTGTCGATTTTCTTGCCCTCAACATGTGTGTGGACGATCTTGTCGACGACGAGAGCGCTAATTGTTTATTTGGACGATCGCCGTCGTGATAGCCATGTTCTGCTTTGGCGGGCGCGAACACTGTTGCCTCATTACATCGCCGGGCCTTCTGACAAGGCTCCGCAGGGGTGGCACTTGACCGAGTTCTTTGCAAATGGCATTTCTTCCTGTCCTGTTCCCTCCCCTCTTCCGTCTTTCCTTCTAGTTCCCCATTGGAACCACTTCTTGCTCCCAGCCCTCATCATCATCATCATCATCATCATCATCAGCAGCAGCAGCATCATCATCATCATCATCGTCATCATCATCATCATCATCATCATCATCATCATCAGTATTCCCTCCCCGCCGACCGCCCGCGCAGCTCCAGCACGAAGAGTCCGAGCGGCAGTGGCAGAAGCGCTACGACAAGTGGGAGAAGGAGGAGCTGGCCCGCAGAAAGTTGATGGAGGAGGCGGCGGCCCCACAGCAGCCCTGCATTTTCGCTTGCTCCACTCTTCGTCCTCCTCCTCCTCCTCCGCCTCCTCCTCCTCCTCCTCCTCCTCCTCCTCCCCCTCCTCCTCCTCCTCCTCCTACTCCTCTGACGGTTTTACTAAGTCGTCGCGGTGCGAGTTTGTTCCTTAGAGGGCCAGCTTGGGCATTGGGCTCAGTTTGCCTACGGGAACGTCCAGAGCGTTCTCGTCGCGTTTCCAGCGTTGGTTGCAAGGAGTTCGCAAAAGAATCGGGGATGGACTGTTCAAGCATAGCAAAACAACAAAACACCAAAACAGAAACAAAAAGGCAGAGTTCACTACTCACTCGTATAATGTGTGATCAGCGTTCGCTTGGGCAAGCTGTTTGGCAGGAGAGTGCGGATATTGGCATCAGTCGCCTCTGCCATTCCAGGAGGCTGCCGTTGTAGAAGCAGGGGGTGACCAATATTTACCAGGTGTTGATGCATTATGTGTCTTACCAGGTGTCGTTGCATTAGGGTATCCTACCCGTTCTTCTGCACATGTCACCACGTGTTGTGCTCGCACACGACAATTTCGCCAGCATGCTATGATTGGTTGATTTGCCGTTTGCAGCCTTTACAGCGACGCAGACACGACTGGGTTTCGAGATGGCAGTAGGACGATGGAATCGCGAAATGACAATGAGGACGAGAACGCGGCGTGTGTTCTTACAGCCAGCAAGGTGTACGAGGACCGCGCGAGGCAGCTCCAGGACAAAGAGGCGTGCTGGGGGGGGCGATGCGGGGAATTAAGATGAGGAAGAAAATAGTTAGAGGACGAGGACGAGGAGCAGGAGCAGGAGAAGATCCGGGGGGGGACGACGCTTACAATGATGATGTTGATCAGAGGTTAGGGTGGTGAGACCGTGGTGACACGGAGGCCCCAAACCAGAAAATCGGTTTCGGTTCGTGTCGCGAGTGCCAGCGAGGCGATGTTGCGCGAGTTCTTGCACTGGCTAGGGCCAGATCAACTCAGAATGAGTCGTCGGCCCTGTTCCGTGCCAGGGCGTGCCCAGGGTTGTCCCGCGATTGGTTCGCGGTTGTCCTGTGGTTGTTCCGTGGCGTGCCCAGGGTCGTCTTGCGTTTGTCCTACGTCTGTCGATGAATAGATCGTGAGACCGATGTATACATAGTGAGATTGATATAGAGATTGCCAGCGTGCCAGGAAGAGATGGCACTGTCAATAATGTAAGCTATGTGATGCACAAGCGTCACTGCGGCCGATTCTTCAAGAACAAGCCTGCATCCTCGAGACACTCCCAGGCGGCAACGACCGGCATCGGACAGCAGCTGTCCAGAACATGGCGAATCTTCGGGACACCCCCACAGGCGGCAACTGGCGACAATGGGCTGGCACGCGGTGAATCCTTTTGGACACCCCACAGGCCGCAACTGGCGACACTAAAACAACAACAAACCGAGGCGTGGCGAATCCTCGGGACACCCATCCAATTCCTTCGAAACGCAAGCACGGACCCCGAAGTGCGAGCATTGTTGGGGCAATAGACAGATATCGAGATATGTGAAAGAGCGTGTTCTACCGTTGCTGGCGGAAAACCGAGGGGGGGTCACTACCGGTTCGAACCCCTTCCCCCCCCCCCCCCTCCGGAAAATTGGGGGGGTCACTACCGATTCGAACCTCTCCCCCCCCCCCGCCGTTCATCATGGACGGGGGGGGGGGGTCACTACCGGTTCGAACCCTCCCCCCCCTCGAAAACCGGGCGGGGTTACTACCGGTTCGAACCCCCCACCCCCCCCCCTCGAAAACCGAGTGGGGGTGCGGACAGTGGTGGGGACGGTGGTGGTGGGGACAGTGGTGCGTGGTGGGGACAGTGGTGAGGGGACAGCGGGACAGTGGTGGGGACAGTGGGACAGTGGTGTGGACGGTAGTGGTGAGGACAATGGTGGGAACAGTGGGGACAGTGGACAGTGGTGGGGACGGTGGTGGTGGGGACAGTGGTGTGGGGACAGTGGGAACTAGGTGGAAACAGTGGGACAGTGGAGGGTACAGTGGTGGTGGGGACAGTGGTGAAGGCGGTGGCGAGGACGGCGGTGGGACAATGGGACAGAGGTACAGTGGGGACAGTGGTGGGGACAGTGGGGACAGTGGTGGGAACAGTGGGACAGCTCAGTGGGACAGCGGAGGAGTCAGTGGGACAGTGGGGACAGTGGGGATAGTCGGGCAGTGGTTGGGGCCGTGGAGAAAGTGGGGAGAGTGGAACCGTGGTGGGAACAGTGGTGGGGACAGTGGGGACAGTGGTGAAGGCGGTGGCGAGGACGGCGGTGGGATAATGGGACAGAGGTACAGTGGGGACAGTGGTGGGGACAGTGGGGACAGTGGTGGGAACAGTGGGACAGCTCAGTGGGACAGCGGAGGAGTCAGTGGGACAGTGGGGACAGTGGGGATAGTCGGGCAGTGGTTGGGGCCGTGGAGAAAGTGGGGAGAGTGGAACCGTGGTGGGAACAGTGGTGGGGACAGTGGGGACAGTGGGGGCAGTGCGACAGTGGTGGGGGCACTGGTGGGGACAGTAGGGACGCAGGGGCGCAGCAGCGACCTGAACGCTGGCTGCTCCACGAGGGCATGGGCGCCGCAGCGCCTGCAAACTAGGTAGCGCCCAGCTGGCTGCACCCAGTGCTCCTGAAACTCAAACGCCTCGGGCGCTCGGGTGGGGGGCGGGGACGGCGACTGCGACCCCTCCTCCTCCAGCAACCCAAGAGCCTGCAAGGCAGTGCTGACGGCGCTCGAACGCGCCCTAGGCAGGACGCCACCGAGTCTCTCCGTCCTCACTGCCGAGAGAAAGAGATGCAGGGCCGTCGGCTCGCACCGTGCGCCAGGCCGCTCCAAACGAGCTCGAGCCTTGGCCGCCCTTGCCCTTGCCGAGCGGTGGCACCATGTGCAGCGGACTGACCCGTCAGGGACCTGCTCGAGGTCATGCGCCAACAAACCAGCCGGGCCGTGGGGTTTCGCGGCCTCGGGGCGACCCTGGGTTCCACCACACTACTGCTGGCCACCAACTGGGCCGCCCTGGAAATGAAATCGAAAGTCCGCTTGGTAGCCTTCAAACGCTCCTTGAGCGCCCCTACAGCTACACCAGCAACACTAATCTGAGCCGAGCCTAAGTTCGCAAAGAAATCGGCCCAGGCATTCCCAAGGAGATCATACACACGAGACACACCACTCAACCCAACACCAGGCTCAGCGGCCAACACCTCATCCAGATCTCCTCCATGGGCTGGGGTCCAGCTGAACGTCGGCCTCTCAGACCGACCCTAGGAGGAGGAGAAGGAGGAGGAGGAGGAGGCGGAGGAGGGGGAGGAGGAGGAGGAGGAGGAGGACGAGGAGGAGGAGGAGGAGGAGGAGGCTACTGAGGCTACTGATGACGCCGCCCTGTCAAAGGGCGCTGGCACGCAGGCCACGCGACTCGGACCTACGCCGAACCGCACTAGCCGAGCCCAATGGCCCAGCGAGAAGTTACTGGCAGGCTGCCCGCTACGACTCCTGCCGACAGGCAGGAGCATGGCAGGTAGCCCGCGCCACCGCACGAGCCGCGGCCCGGCGGGAGACCAAGATTTTCGAGCAGCGCCCAGCGGCGGCGACCCGCCACGAGCGGAAAACCGACCCAGAGGCCAAAACGAGGCGAACCCAGCAAGGGCGACGAGAGGCCAACGCCACCACCCCCACGGGACAACGCCCCAAGAAAACCACACAGCCTCGATCGCAGGCCAGCCTCACTCGGGAAAGAGGTTCTCGTCGACCCAGGCCTGACCGAACCGCTTCACGGCGAGCTGGCGCAGCTCGCGGTTGGAGAGGCTGTCAGGCCAAAAGCCCGCCGTCCGTCGTCGTAAGGAGGAGGAGGAGAGGAGGAGGAGGAGAGGAGGGGAGGAGGAGGAGGAGGAGGAGGAGTAGGAGGAGGAGGAGGGGAGGGGGAGGAGGAGGAGGTAGGAGGAGGAGGGGGGGGGAGAGGGGAGAGGGAGAGGAGGGGAGGAGGAGGGAGGAGGGAGGAGGAGGAGAGGAGGATGAGGAGGAAGAAGAAGAAATGGGAAGGGCGGGAGGGGTGGGGAGGGGGCAGCAGGGCCCGGGTCGGAAGGCGGCGAGGGGCGGGGGAGGGGAGAATGCGCCCAGGAGCGGCGCGGCAAGCTCAAGGCCGAGCTGGTGCAGGCGACCCCGGGCCACGCTCTCCCCAGGGCGGAGGGGAGCAGAGGTGCCGAGGCGAGGGGCCGAGGCGAGGGATCGCTGCGGGCTCTTCTCCGTGCCCTCTGGTGGGAGGGGGAGGAGGAGGAGGAGGAGGAGGAGGAGGAGGAGGAGGAGGAGGAGGAGGAGGAGGAGGGAGGAGGAGGAGGAGGAGGAGGAGTGAGGGAGTAGGGAGGAGGGAGGAGGGAGGGAGAGGAGAAGGAGGAGGAGGGGGAGGAGGAGGAGGAGGAGGAGGAGGGAGGAGGAGCTCAAGCGGGCGCCTGAAGTACGCCCACGACGCCAACTGGTAAGAACGTATACCCCCAAGCAGCCCCCACTGTAGCCGTCTTGGGGGCTTCTCGGCCGAGCCTATTGGAGGCTCTGTGGGCTCTTTGGGTGTTCTCTTAGGGCTTGTTGTGGCGCGTTGTAAACCCTCTTGGGGGTCTGTTTGGGAACCGTCGGACTTGTGGAAGCATGTTGGTGCCATCCTGAAGGCCATCAACCAACCAAGCGGGTGCACTCAATCCAGTCGTCTCTTGGAGACCTTTTGGGACGATGTTGGAGTGATTTGGGGGGCGTTCAGGGCCGTCTTGGGAACACACTGGGCCCCTCGCGGAGCTCTCTTGGGGCCACCTTGGACGAAGGACCTCGCTTTGCACGTTCGTCGGGTTGACCACGGCGGCGTTCCTCTTTTCATTCATCCTGAGTTTCTCCTCATCTCCTGCGTGCTGGTCCGCCTCGGCGGGCAGAGAGGAAAGCCGAAGCCAGAGTTCGGGGGGGATCGGCGATTTTCGCTGGCAGGGGATAAGAGGAGGAGGAGGAGGAGGAGGAGGAGGAGGAAAAGGAGGAGGAGGATGCGGTGTAGACATTATAGCCATGAGAGCACAAGCAAGTTACCCGCGAGACTCCTCGATACAGATAAATGAGTCAACCGACTCCCCAAGTCAGCATCAACCTGACAATTTAGCCCCGTGTTGGGATGCTTCACTTCTCGAATGTTGGTCAGCGCAGCTTGCCCAGGGGCGGGGGATTACATAAGCCCCTGAGCTCAGGGCCAAGACGCTAGGCACGATAGGACCCACACGCCGTGCAACATATGTATGGGCCAACTCGACCCGCAACAGGCCCCAAGGAAGTGAAACCGTGAATACCCTCTCCCCCTTCCTTGGCCCAGACTCCGAGCGCAACCCATCCGCGGGAGTCGCAGCACCCACGGACGGACCCGAGCCCCCAGGATCGGACCCCAGGACAGCCCCGGCACCAGGCAGGATAACCTGGATTGCTGTTGGTCCTGAGGAGGAGGAGGAGGAGGAGGAGGAGGAGGAGGAGGAGGAGGAGGAGGAGGAGGGGGAGGGGGAGGAGGAGGAGGAAGCGAGGAGGAGGGGGCGGAGGAGGAGGAGGAGGAGGAGGAGGAGGAGGAGGAGCAGCAGGAGGGGGAGGAGGAGGAGGAGGAGGAGGAGGAGGAGGAGGAGGAGGAGGGGGAGCAGGAGGGGAGGGAGGAGGAGGGGGGGGGGCGCAGCAGACGCGTGCAGACCACATGGAGCGAACACCAGACGGGCATGTTCTCTCTGCAGAGGGGAGGGGGTCACACTGCCTATCAATGCCCTGCGTCGACCGCCTCTCGGTGGCTGGTGTACGAGGTTTGGTCAGGCACGCCTTACAGACCAGGACGGCACTCGATACGAATCGGAGGATGGGAGGAGGCGGGGGAAACGGAAGAAAAAGCACAACGGCCTCGGGAACTCCCGAAGGGCCGCCAGATGCCCACCCCCAACCTCCTCACGCGCTGCAAACTGAGCCGCCGCCCATCCGAACAAATGAGCAATATCCTGAACTGTGGCCAAACGGTCAGCCTCGAACTCCACCAAGATATCCGCGACTTCATGTGATGTCGCTGCAACCTGACACAGAAATCAGCGAACATGTCCACAAAGCACCACTCAACAGGCTGGGATCCCTGCTCCAGGCACCATTCTGCTTCGAGCGATCCCCACCGTAACCGTCGGCGTTTGATCCCGAAGGTGCGCGCGCTCATCGGAACGATGTGCGCTGGGCGCGGTGGTCTCGGCCAGTGCGGCCGTTGCTGTGTGATTTTATGATTACTGTGCCATGGTATGGAATGATGTATGCTGTGCTGATGTGCTATGGTACGCACTGCTCTGTCATTTTGTGTTATGTCACGGTATGGTCTGTCATGGTCTGGTATGGTATGCTCGGTCATGGTGTGTTCGGTGGTGTTGTGGTATGCTCTGTTCTGTGGGGGGCCTGGGGATCTGGCGGCCGCAGTGTGCAGAGAGGGCGAGTCGGCGCGGTGGGCGGGACCCTCAGGTATTATCGGGAGACCTGGGATCTGGCGGCCGCAGTATGCAGACTGGGCGAGTCGGCGCGGGGGGCGGGACCACCAGGGATTATCGTGAGAGTGGGGATCTGGCGGCCGCGGTATGGGCGGGTTGGGGGCGGGACCAGGGATTATCGGGAGCCTGGGGATCTGGCGGCCGCGGTATGCAGGGCGGGCGGGCCGGGAGGTCTGTCTTTAAAATCAAGCGACCCCAACTTGTCGGATGGGGAAATAGCCTGGAAGAGCCAGGTGCGCTGACACCCACTCGAAGAAGGGATGGCTGCAGTCCTGTCGATCCTTAGCAAGATTGAATATGCGTCGCCAGATGCCAGCACGCGCACCTGTGGCCGAAGCATGCTCGGTGGACCGTTCCGCCCCCTCTCTCACGGCCCCCTGGAGAGCCGAGACAGCCACACCGAAGGACGGGAAAAGTTGGAGCCCCCGCAGCAGCACATCCATATCCCTCCTCCTCCTCCCCCTCCTCCTCCTCCTCCTCCTCCCTTTTTCCTCCTCCTCCTCCTTTTCCCCCTCCTTTTTTCTTCCTCCTCCTCCTCCTCTTCCTCCTCATCCTTCTCCTCATCCTCCCTTCTTCTTCCTCCTCCTCCTCGTCCGAGCGGCCAACAGACCTGAGCCGGTCCAGGCAACGGTCCGAGCGCCGCTCCCACGGAAAGGCCCCCGTCTCCAGGCGGGGCCGCCGGCCATCCGCATCTCCGAGGTCCGGGCCACGCACGGTGCAGCCCAGAATTGCCGAAGGAAGCGGCAGGGCTCCAGCATCCTCCTCCTCCTCCTCCTCCTCCTCCCCCCTCACTCCCTCCTCCAGCATCCTCCCTCCTTCCTCCTCCAGCATCCTCTCTCTTCTCCCTCCTCCTCCTCCTCTCGTACCTCCTCCTCCACCCCTCCTGCTCCTCCTCCTCCTCCTCCTCCTCCTCCTCCTCCTCCTCCTCCTCCTCCTCCTCCTCCTCCTCCTCCTCCCCCCTCCTCCTCCGCCTCCTCCTCCCCCGACGCGCCGCAGCTCGGGGCGCCGCCCGCGGCACGCAGCCCCCCCCCCAGAGTGAAGCGTGGAGGGTCATAGGAGGGGAGGGCAAGGGCGGGGCCTCGGGGCTTCGCCCTTGCAGGGCCTCGGGGCCTCGGGGCCTCCTGTGAGGCCTCGGGGCCTCATAGGCGGGCGAGGGCAAGGGCAAGGGTGGGGGGGGGGGGCGGTGCAAGATCGGAGCAAGCGGAAGCTGTTATGGCCGAGCACCTTCACGGCCTCCTCGCTCTGACGACCACGCGCTTTTTCCTCATTCGGACGATCACGGCACTCGAGTGCCATCGTGCGCCAATCCGTCTGCATTCCAGCCACGTATACATCATGATCACTCGTAACATCGTTCTTCCGACAATCTGGGTGCGGGCACGATGCGATCGACAGCCAGCCATTTTGAGATCCCCTCTGGACTGTCATGAATCCACCCGCCCAAAGACATCGACGGCCGCCTGCCACATGATCGGACTTGATCGTAGCCGACTTGCCTCCCACCACCAGCGACAAGACCCACATCCAGACCTGTGCTCCTCCCTTTAAGTGCTCCAAGTAATTTCCGAGTATACGTCGGCCTTGCCATCTTTGCACACCCAGTCTTAGCAGTTGCCTGATGTCCTTAGCAGCCACCTGCATCAAAGAGTACACCTCCCCTTCGTTTCGTGCTGCTGGTCATGTCCAAGCCGACCCTCTTTAAAGACAGCCATGTAGCCGCACTCGGTCCTCGGACGCCTTGCAAGCTCGGTGGCGAGTCCCGCCACCTGGCCTGCAGCACACGCCAGGCCCTCTCGAGCTTGCCCATCTCCAGCCTCAGCTCTCACACGAAGATGGCGCACGTGGTCACAATGCTAGAGTCGCGTCGAAGATGGGGTCCATCCAGGGGTCTGGGGTCTCTTTGCGTCGCAAGGAAATCAGGCCGTGACGCTGGCCCCCTTGCACTTGCGTGAACCTTACCAGGACTCCAGCCGTCTTTCTCAGCATCCGCAGGTCACCATCGGGCTCTCCAGACACCGAACTGCCATGCGCGGCTCCAGCCAGCAATTATTCACTGCGTGGGGATCCCCATATGTGCATCTCCTTGCTGGCGCCCCCTTGGTGGTGGGACTCGGTGAGGACGAATCTGGATTTAAGTGTGACTGTGCTGCCTCTCTCTCTGCTCTCTCTGCTCTCTCTGTCTCTCTCCCCTCTCTCTGTCTCTGCCTCTCTTTCCCTGCCTCTCTCTCTCTCTGCCTCTCTCTCTGCCTCTGTCTCTCTGCCTCTCTCTCTCTCTCTGCCTCTCTCTCTGTGCCTCTCTCTCGCTCTGCCTCTATCTCTGCCTCTCTCTCTCTCTCTCCTCTCTCTCTTCTCTCTATTCTCTCTCTGCTCTCTCCTCTCTCTCTCTCTCTCTCTCACACTCTCCCTCTCTCTCTATCTCGCTCTCTCTCTTATCTTCTCTTCTCTTCTCTCTCTCTCTCTCTCTCTCTCTCTATATATATATATCTCTCTCTCGCTCTCTCTTTCTCTCTCTATCTCTCTCTCTCTCTCTATTCGCTCTCTCTCTCTCTTTCGCTCTCTATATATATATCTCTCTCTCGCTCTCTCTTTCTCTCTCTATCTCTCTCTCTCTCTCTATTCGCTCTCTCTCTCTCT